TATAAATTAAAGTGTGAAATAGTAGATTTGTAAATTCTTTCTTATTGAAATGTAAAATGTACTAAAACATGGCTGGTGTCGATATTCTAGAGTATTTTAAGCCTTCCAGTTATAGGAAAGGCCAACATCGACTGCAATTGAAATAAGCAATTAAAGGTTCATTTCTATTCTTCCCAGCATATCCCAAGTTCTCGAAAAAAATAATTAATTAAAGAATATATCATTTTTAAAATAACCATGAAATATTGAATTCAAATCGAATTGTTTCAGAAAATTCATATTTCAGTGTCCTAGCTTTGGTTTAAATGCAAGATCAAATATTAATGCAAAGGTCAATAAAAACACGTAATGGGAATTTTCATGGATTAATCAGAAGCGTTTGATACCTGAATCCCAATGTTTTGCTTAAAAAGCTAAACAAAATTATAATAATAAAATAATATTAATAATAATAGCCTAATAGTCCACTCCAAATTTAATTAAACCGAAACGGAAATTCTTGAAATTATGAAATTCAAAGAGTTGCTCTCTCGTGGTGTATGGATGATTTATCATTCCAGCAACAGTATGTGGTGCATACTGAGTTTTTATTGGCCAATCTTCACTTGAATGTGGAGTATCGCAAGGATCAATATTAGTTCCCCTTCTTTTCTTATTGTAGATTAATGGTATAATTAATGCATCATCCCTTTTATCGTTTATACTATTTACTGACGACCCTCGACATGATTATTTTTCATGATAATTCGGAAGCTCTTATTCACACTTACTTTTGAACTACCAACAGTTTCATATTGGTTTAAAATTAGTAAACCATCCTTTAATATTAATAAAACGAGATTCATACATTTAAGACATGCAAATGCATAAATACTCCAGATTTTTCCTATCATATTGTAATTGATAATATACCATTGCATGTTGAAATGTAAAAAGATTTTAGGCATCTTTATTGATGAGGACCTTAGCTGGAATGAACAAATACGTCACATATTTGCATTTCTAAGAATATTGGTATACTTTATAAGACATCTTGCCATGAATTTCATTTTTTAACTTGGTGTGGGCGTAAAGTGCAAATGCATAAACTAACCCTGTTAATTTATTGCAAAAAAAAGCGCGTTGCATTTGTGCTGGTTCCCATTGTTTACCCCCATACGAAGCCATTATTTTATGAATTCAAAACATTGATTTATTAAAAATATAAACGCACAACAGACTTTGATCTTTATGTTTAAATGCATGAAGAAACTTTTTCCTGATTCACTTAAGAATTTATTTGTATTCAATAACACTGTCCGTTCTTACCCTACTCATAATTCATTAAACTTTTATTTGATGAATTCCAAATTATTGATCCTGAATAAATCAACGAGACATCATGGTCCAGATTTATAGAATGCACTCATAGACTCAATAAAATCATACAAAACCCTAAATTCATTTGAATTCAATACAAAGAAAGCATTTCTGTCAGAGTACATTGCCTGAAATTTTCCGAGTGCTGAATTATTATTTGATATTATTCAAGATTTCTATAAACATCCATCCCTATATTTAATAACTCCCGTATACTTATATAAGTTTTCTGTGTCAGACATTTTCATTTTCATTTTCAATTTCATCATCATCTTTATAATCAACATCATCACCATCACCACCACCAGTTTCTAAAATCATTTTGTTATCATCCGTAGCCCTCCCTCCTCCCAACCCCGGTTATCATGCTCTCAAGCAATCGCTTCTTATGAAAGCCCTTCTTCTGCAGATTCAGTTATGAATAATTATTGGTAGTGTGTTTTAAGTTACACTTTTTTTTAATGTCAACATTGCATTCAATCATTTGTACGTTGATTTGTATGTTGCTGAAGAAAATGAGTTCAATTTAACTCAATCAAATTTCATATTCGCCGTCCACTGGGTCCTTTCTTCAAATGGAATGTTTTTAAATCACTTTAATTTTCGGGATTACTTCATGTTCATTTGTAGTTCCATTGAGAATTGTTTTCTTAAACATCCAGTAGCAACAGGTAGTGACGTGTGCTGTATTTCCCACTTGCTTAATGTAAACTGATACTTTACTCATTTCTATTATTCTTAAGGAATGGAATCTTCTCAAATCACTTCAATTTTCGAGACTACTTCATATTTATATGTAGCTCTATCGGAAATTGTTTTCTTGAAAATCCAGTAGCATCTGGTAGAGATATGTGCCGCGCTGCGGTATTGCCTATTAATGTAAACCGATACCTTACTCATTTTATGATTCCTAAGATAATATAAAGAAGGCATTACAATATTTGTATTATGCACCACACAGGAACCGCATCCTTTCTAGTGTATATCATCAGCGCTCATGTTATCGTTATTAGTATTATTACTATTATCATTATTTATTTTCATATTTATTATTGTTATTTTTATTATCATAATTCATATTTTTATTATAATTATTATTATCATCATCATTGTACAAAATGATGTAAATATCATTTTTAAATAATTGAATACTTATATTTAATGTTTTCTCATCCTTTCAGAGTTTTGAAGTATTATCAACAACATTACCAATGATGAGGAAGAGGAAAAAAGGCACAGGACTTTGAAAATAATTATCACGTTCAGTCTCGTTAAGGATATGTTGTTTCGGATGAACATGAAATGATTGATTTTTATATTCCCCTACTTTCTATTCAATTTAAGCACGGAAAACCTGTTTGAGCCTCGGGCTTTTCATCAACGCCCTTTTAACTACTTGTAATACCACCGTCATCATGAGGAGGAAAAGGGGCACGTTTCCTATTTAACTATCACGCCCTTTATATTTCTGCAGTCGTGAAAGACAGGGATACGTGATACCCGAACATGATACAATAGAACGCTCTGCCAATACATTACATGACGTCACTCGCAAACGTCAGGGGATAGTGAATGCAGAACCAACATAAAGTCTAAATTGAGCCGTGCCGTTTACTCCACTTAAAAGAAATACATGATACCATGATCAATAACGAGTTCGAAAGGCCGGTTGTTTATTTTACTTTGTATCTGTTTCCCTTTTCGTAACCTATTATCTTACAAATCAGTTACAAATCTGAGTGTGATACACTATTTTCAAATGTATCGACACTGTTCTCCGTGATATTCCCTGAAATATTGATCATGGAAACCCTCTATAAGTTGATAATACAAATTAGCTCCATTAAACCGATTAGCGCCATTAATACAAAAATATGATTGTTAATCTGCAAATCTTTCAGACTATGTCTGTGCCCTGGGCACACATCACGTCATGCCTCTGCGCTTGCTGATTTTTTACTTCATAAATTGAAAGCCCCTTTTCTGCAAATTTTCCAATGTTTAATTTTTTGTAGTGTTTATTAAGTTTTGTTTAAATGTCAACATTTTCATAATTATCATCATATTGTTTACCCGTTCAAAAATATGTTATATCCTGTGTATGTTGTATCGTTGAAAGATAATTAGATCTGTACGTTGCATACGAAAATGAATTCAATTCAATTCAATTTACTTTTGGCGCTCGAGTAGAAAGAGCCAGCAGGTAAAAAAAATCTTGCCATACTATCAACTACAATCAAGGGCCTCTTCAAGATATATGAGACTGATTTTTTCGTCTTTTTTTTCTTCTTGAGGGCAATGAACATAAACCACACACAAAAAAGAAAGAAAAAAGAACAAGAACACAAATAATCCATTGGTGCTCGAAAATTGAATTCGTTTGGAAGGATCACTTTAGAACACTATTGAGGATTAAGCCTGCCCATTTACTGAGTGCATGTTATCTTTTCCCATATAAACAAAATCTGAATCATGCAAAATTGCCCCACGTTTACCGCGTTTTCCCAGTTCGGCTAACCAAAGGTGCATTCCACACCACTCATCATGTTCATGAATATTACTCACTTTTGAGAAAGGCGGCCCATTCCTCTAGCTATCAATCTGGAGCAAATACCCATGGGATACTGTTTCCCTGCAACCCAGAATAAACAAATCCATCGATATCATGAAAGTCGCATTCAGGCCATGCGTGGCTTCAGGCGTATTGTCTCCAAATGGGGTGCTTTTAAGGGATTAGTAGAACATTTTGAACGCTTAAACAGTACCTTGTTCAACCCTAAAGTGAAAGATAAAATCATGATGTAACAGAGTAATGTAAAATACAATAGTTAGTCTGTCTATACATGGTTTTCGGAGGGGGCGGGGGCGTGGCGAGTGACGGGGGGGGGGGGGTCACGATTTCCAGAAAAAACAATTGTTGTTGTTTCTAAATCGTGCAAGCGACCGTAGGGAGCGAGCAACAATTTTGGCAAATAATCCTGGTGAAAAAAAAATCAATCTACAAACAGTCCGCCCTACTTCTCGAATGTGAGAAGAAGGAGGCTACCCAACTATGAAGTGGCGGACATTGGTAATATAACCACCTTTAGCCCCTTCGACATGTGAGTCTGTACGATTGTGCTCGAAGTTTTTTCGTTTTACCAGGGGTCTAGTGGAAATTTGTACAACTTCGCCCCAGATAACTCGGTTTTCGGTCACTCCGTAAATGCTTGCAATACCCAAATCAAATCATATCCTAATGGTTTACGTCATGTTCCGCTGTCTGTACCGAGAATCACGAACCGTGCTACAGACACGCTGAAGGCAATTGCCCACTGATGGGTGTCTACATAGAGGGATGTTTATTGTTCTGAAAGTAATAACAAATCACCAATCATTCATTATTCACGGTATTCAATACATCTTACTTCGATTTGTTTTCCAGGATTTACAGACCTGCAGCTGAAATTTTCTTCCGAGGAAGGTGAACAAAATAATGGGTATGTTGTTTTCTGCATGAGAAATGATGTAGACTTGTAATACAAATGTTGGCCTCTTTTTGCAGTGGGAATCATTTGATTGAAAGGGCATTGTGTCATTACAACTATTTGTGCATCAGTCAATTTTGAACTCAGCAGGATTCTTGTCAGTTACTGACCTACCTCGTGGGGGCATCGTGGTGTTTTGGTAAAGACACTTTATGGGTTCGATCCTTGCTCTGTGCTTACACTTCAGAACAATGCGTTTTACCCACGTGCATGTCCCTCTTACCCCAGGTGAATTTAAAGGGTACCTAGCCATGCAGGAGGTAGTGATCATTGCACTACTCTCATAAAGAACAGTATGGGGGATTACCTTCTCTGGGTAAACGGAATCATTTAATTTAGTTGTTGACCCTGTGAAAGAACGATTGCCTGCGCCAGTAATGCAACATTATTGTTGCACTCTGCAGTATGAATTCTCTTTGTGTACGCTGACAACTCACAGCACACGGCAGAGACATCAACAGTCACTAACACAGTCCTGCGTCAGATCTGGGGATCGTTTCATAAGACTTGTTATCTATATCAACTGCTAAATTTATATGACAAATTTGCTCTCAGTCAATCAGATGCCATGATTTCAGTAGCTTATAACAGTAGCTTGTCACTTGTCATTGATAACAAGTTTTATGAAACAGGGTCCGTATACGCCTCGTGCGCACAGGACGTTAGGTCACGTGGTACGAATTCTGCCCAATCAAAGGAATCTGTTTTCACAACAGGCATGAAGCTGTTGTGCATCCGCTATACATATTTCCCTTCCCCAAAACACGAAGTCTATTTTACCAATACTAAAAAACATGAACTGAGTGGAAATAAAATATTCACGACCAATCAATTCCCGGAAGTTTTGATAGGTTAGGTATTGAAGGCAAGTTTCATAGAAATCTTTCCGGCGCAGGTGCATGTGAGGAGAAAACAGATTATAAAAAACCGTTTCTCATTAAAAATCTCAATAATGGAAATCTGTCCTGAATATATTGTTCACGTATTGAACATTACCGTGCATCTGGAAAAAAGAGTTTACACATCTCGACTATAGCACCATGCAAGGTTCTTGTAAACGTAGAAATAGCTCTCAAATTATGTGACTGTTTGTTTTTATTAAAGTCCCTTTTTTTTAAGCAGAAGAAAACCAAAATGCTTAGTTGTAATGATTGATTCAAATCTAACTTGAAATAGTCATATTATTAACTACGTTTGCATGTTAATCTCGAGAGGCATTGGCATTTTATATAAATTGAAAAAGTGACAACAGTCACTATTTATGCTTTACAATTCTTCGATTTTGTCAGACATATCTTATTGTAAAATAGAGCGGGGTAATAGTATAAGATGAAAATTATGGTCATATAATTATCGTCTCCGAAAGAAACCACTCCGTCTGTGTACACATTCACAATATTTAGCCCACACTGATCCAATATTTTATAAACTTAAAAACGTTATAAATCGCTGATATTCACAATTTCAAAATGCAATCTTCATGTATACATTTCGAATAAATACTATACCTCTGGCATTTCGTAATATTAATATAGGGATATACATTGTTTTTCTACACGACACTCATCGGACTTCCATTTAACTAACCCAATAATTATTATGGCCTATAAATCGATAAAACACCATTATCCAGATATTTGGAATGCTTTACCTGACAATACTAAACACTCTGCATCTCTTTACTCATTCAAAGCTTCGATTACAAATATTTAATATCCAGATATTCACTAATATCAAAAGGGTCTTGACGATTTTAATTGTTTGTTAATATAAATTAATTTAAGATGACCCGTTCATGCTCAATACCAATCAAACACTTACTTCACCTGCACACACCCACTTGCACACACATGTTTTTCTTTCTTTATTTTCGTTCCACTTTCTATTTAGATACTTTCTGAACAAAATCTTTATACGTGGCTCTCTAGTCTCCTACATACTCTTATAATATCGTCAAGTACCCCCCCTTTCCGGTTGCTATCGACTCAATCATTCATGCTTATGATAGTTGACCTCTGCATTTATCTTGATTCTTTGACTCAACTCCGTATTTCAGTTGTCACTTTTTATGTAAATCAATTATATTATACACTATTATTGTTATTTGAATGTTTTGTATTTGATTTATCAATAAATGCAGAAACATCTGCTGTATAAAAAAAGGAAAAAGGTATAATGGGAAATGATGTCTTAAAAACAAATTTGATTCCTGTATTTCTTCGAAAATGGATTCTGTAGACGGTTTTCAAACAAATCATCGACATCTTCCTTTGTGTACGAGGGCTTCCTGGAGTAACAGACAAGTAAATGAATCCTGAAAACAAAATAAAATCGATTTTTAACTTCAATAAACGTTTGATTATTTTTTTCAGGTAGCACCTGACATATGAGAAACGCCATCTGTTAAATATAGAATGGATAACACAGCCAAACAATAGAAATGTAAGTTAAAACAACTCATGGTTGTTGAAAAGCATTGTCGTTAAAATGGGAAATCATCTGGAACATGTACATGGATATCAGCCTTAGGTGAATTGGTGAGAAAGAGTATCCATAGCAACACTCGAGCCCTCTCAACGTTTGATTGACACAACATTTTAATTTTATCTATAAATGTTTACATTTCCAAAAAGGAAGGTGGTTAACCACAACACCCGAAAGGTTTCTTAAGATGTAAATGTAACTGGTTGTCTATTTGTAGGTTTTCCTCCTCTCTCATTTTCTCTCACATTATTCTCTATCTATCTTTATTCTTGTGTGCTCTAGATATAAATCATTCTCTATCTTTTCCTCTCTCTTTCGCCCTCCGTGCCCTCTCTTACTCAAAATATTGTGCTAAAGAAGGTATCCAATAACGTATATTACTTCTAATATATATATAATAAACCATTCATATTAATTTTCCCTTTTTATGGTTATAATCGGAGCCTCACCATTAATCAAATTGAAATGAGAAATTAATTAAAGCAAAGGGTAACGTAGCTTCTTTTGGTCTCGATTAACCGATAAACTACTCCTCTAACCTAATTGTTTTCATTAAGGGAATTACTCCTCATGTGCTCGGTACGGGCCTGGCATTTGCACAAATTCTCGCTCCCTGGTTCCTGATAATTTTCCATCTAGGGTGCTTCCTAACATCAAGGCAGGGTAAAACCGCTTAAAATTACTTTAAATATTTTATTTTATGATCCTGAATCTCAATATTAGTGCAGAAATGCTCCTAATCATAAAGGGAAAAACCAAATCGCCTAATAAAATCAATTTGCTGGAAAAGAAATCCTACATTGATAGCAAAATCCTCTGAAGAAAAAAAAAATCAAAGAAGTAGATTTGTGAAAGTTTGAATTAAATCAGACAAATATTGAGAAATTTGTGATCACTATTAAAAGCCGTGGGCTCTGCAAATTGGCTGGGTCGGTAGTGTCTTTGTAAGGTAGTGATATACAACTTTTCCACTTGTTATCTAAAATTTCGAATTATAAAAAAAGCTTGACCCAGAAAGATCTTTTCTCTTTAGAGGAACAATATTAATATGCTTTCCAATTATTATCTGCGACTATTGAATTGAATTGAATATATATTCTTCTGCAACGTGCAAATCAAATTACGTTTCAACATAGAACATAGATAAAATATAACACATTCTGTGAAGGTGTGAACAATATAATAATAATAGAAATGTTGACATCGAAACAAAAATGTAACTGATAACACGCCAACAAGAAATATTCAGGAGGACATCTGCAGGAGAATGGCTTTCACAGTAAGCGTTTGCCTGATATCGCGATAGCCCGGGGTTAGGAGGGACTCAGGGGGATGTGGGTGATTTTCTTCTGTAAATATTGATGATGATCATAATGATGGTGATGATGTGATGTAAATATTATGTCTGACATACAAAATCTTTATATGTAAAACGAAGTTATAGAAAATAGTGTTAGATATTTAAAGAAATCTGGAAATATATTGAATATTAATTCACAAATGGGAAAAGATTAAACAATGTCCTTTGAGAAAAAATGTTTTCTTCGTATTTAATTTAAATGAATTGAGGAGTTTACGTCTTTTATGTCAGCTTTAGAGCGAATTCCATGAATCTGGACCATGTTGTATTATCGATTTATGCAGGATCAATAACTTAAGATTTATCAAATAAAAGTTTAATGAATTCCGACTAGGCTCAGAATGGATAGTGTGATATAAATACAAAAACATTGTAATTGAATCAGGAAACAGGTTAATCCTGAATTGAAACATAAAACCAAACTCTGTTGTGCGTTTATACAATAACTGTCAATGTTTTAAATTCAATAGATGAAGGGTTTGTATAGGCTAAATAATGGGAGCCAGCACATATCCACTGACCAAGCTGCCAATTTGAAATTCTCATATACTTAGTCATGTTTTAAACATTCATAATTGGTCCGATTTATTTCAAACTTTCCCCATTTGATGTAACTTATCTTTCTGCTATCATACAAATGTACATTTTACAAGGGTTCGAATACCCTTTAAAATGTATCATTTCAAAGAATAGAAATGCATTTTGAAAGAAGTCTTCTTTACATGCTTGGTATAGATATTGTTTTGTATTTCAGCCTTTCATTATAGTTTGACATAATTCAGTTAATCATCAACTCCATGAAAATAACGTCTACAAAAGTCAGTTTAATAAAGAAAAAATTAACACGGGATTTTGAAATTATGGTGTTAATTATCCGCCATGCATCAATTGGATACGCAAATCTATATAATTCAATATTCATGAAATGTGTTGTTTCAATGGTAGTGATCGCAGCCTTTGATTTTTATATGAGAACAGGTGCATAATATGACTCAGGAATAGTCAATTCAAGCAGTGACATTAATGATGATAATCTACGTCATGCAAGTCCATAATAAGAGCTTAGAGGAATTCTATTTAATGGCGCCCACGCAGAGTTGCCCGAAAACTATCTCACCTGCGCACAGCGAACCAATTTTCTTCAAAGGGGAAGTCCACCCTGATATTAAGTTGGTTTTAATAAAAATACCAATATCCGATTAAAAAACATAAAAGTTATGAATTGTTTAAGTTGTCATCAGTGAAACACAAATTGGCAACACTCTGACAACTGGCTGTGTACA